TGCCAACAGTCTGGGACAAATGCTGTTACCAGGGGATCGGTGGCTAAGACAGAAAGATGCCAGAGAAAGGTACTGGAGTTTTCCCACTGTCTTTGTCAATGGTCAAAAGAGGCTTCCTTACACAGTGAAATGTTGTGGGGGTTCCACTGGATATTACACCAAAGGACCAGAAGAATTCTGAGCAAGGAAGAAATTCAGATGCCAACACTAATTACACAATGCAAATACAGTCAATGAAAGTGTTCAGTAGCCACGTTTGCTTTGGAAGCTTGGTGGATGGAATAACATATCCTTCAGAGCAGGGGTTGAAAAGTGAGGTGTTTAGGGGCCAGGCAAGTAAAGCAAATGAACCATGGTAGGTTGGTGCAGAGTGAGAAAAATGAGAGATGTCTAGCCAAACTTGCTTCCGGCCAACCTGGCTGTTCAATGGGAATGTAGGATGTGGGTAATAAATCCTTTGTTTTAATGAAAAAATTCCAAATTTATTGATTCATTTATTTCCAGGGATTGAATGCAACGTCTTCTACTGAGCTACATTCTCAACCCTTTTAAAATTTTTTATTTTAAGACAGGGTCTCACTAAGTCTCTAAATTGCCCAGGCTGTGCTAGAACTCATGATACTCCAGCCTCAGCCACCCAGAGTGCTGGGACTGCAGGCCTGCACCACCTTGACCACCTTAAGGTTCCAACTGAAAAATGTTAGCAACTAACCAATATTAAGTAAAATGTGCTGTAGGCCAAACCAAATCTGTGTGGAGATCTGGCCTGGATTCTGGCTCTCACACTCAGTTTTCTCATTCATAAACCTGTGGGTAGAATAACACCTCACTTTCCCCTTCTTTTTCTTATCCTCCTCCTCCTCCTTTTCTTCCCTTCCCCTTTCTCCTCCTCCCTCCTTCTTATTCTTGTTTTTGTTCTTGTTCTCCTCCTTATCCTTCTCCCTCATCTTCTCTTTCTCCTCCTTCTCCTAGTCCCCCTCCACCGTCCCACCTTCCTGCATCTCATAATGAACAGTGGCTAAGAATAATGTGGAGAGGGAGGAAGACTAACCTCTTTAAACATCTTTGAATGTACCAATGTAACTCAGAAGGAATAAAAGGATAAAACTGATTTTAACTGTGATAACTAGCTACGTACACACATCTATACTTGTACAAAAATTTTGAGACTGCAATGTGTAGTTTTCACCTTTAGCTGTTCTGAATATTGGTAAGAGAAAGCAAATATAAATATTTAAATTTATAGAATTTTAAGACAATAGCTTGGTAGTGGTATTTGCTGCTTAATTTTATCCTGCTCCCTCCGACCTGCCAACTGTGCCTCTTTTGCCAAATTATACAGTCATGCTTTATTTTTTTTTATTTTTTGTGTTTTTTTTTTTTTTTTTTTTTTTTTTGGTACCAGGGATCGAACTCGGGTCCTTGCTCTTGCAAGGCAGGCCACCAAACCGCTGAGTTAAATCCCTGGCCCCATTCATGCTTTATTTTAATTTCCCTTATTATATCTGGGGATGGAGGAGGCTGCCTGTAATAGCATCTCACTGAGATAGGGCATGGGTGTTAAGTAGATTAACGCAGAGACAGTTTTTAAAGAGTACCTGATACATATAAAATACTGAATGATTGTGAACTAGTTAGAAATATGATTATAATGATTATGATTCAGATTGAGAAGAAGTTCTCAGGTGGTTGAGGGACTACTGAATATCTTTGGAAACCTTTCTTCAAATATGAGAACACACTGGGTGTAACAGCCATGGGCTCCCATGAAGGCTTAAAGGCTGAACATGCCCAAGAGGCCCAAGAAGAACTCCCAGCAGGGACATGTTCACTGTGGCCTCAGCCTGCTCATCCCACGTTGGCCAACTCAGTGGGAGATCTTCTGAAAGGGAACACTACTATTCAAGATTATCTGCATCTGCTTGTATGCATTCCTCTGCTATTGCTTAGAGCTGAAAGTTCCCCAAGGCCTCATGTGCTCATAGGCAGGCCTTTTGAAAGGTCACTGGATCAGGAGGGGTGTACATAGCTGACCCGTTTGGCACCATGATCTAGTTGGAAGAGTGGGTTACTGTGGGTGTGGCCTGGAAGGGTCTATCTCTGTTCCCGGCTCCTCCCCTGACCTCTCTGCTTCCTCACCACCAGGACACGAACATGTATCCCTTTACCAGTCCCCTCTGCCATGCTGTCCTTCCTTGGAGTTGGCTGACTATGGACTGAAATGTGAGGCCACATAAACCCGTCCTCCCTTAAGGTGCAGGTGTTGGGTATTTGTTCTCAGTGAGGAGGAAAGTGACTAAGACACGGTATATTTTAGGAGATAACACATTTTAGAAAAATAATCATTCATAAAAAGTATGAGTGTATTTCTCTTCCAATTATAAAGAGCAGCCCCCTAATTTTAGAACTACTAGAAAATATTTTATAGACTATAAAGTCAGTGACTACGCCCTGTGGTTTCCCAAGTCTGTTGACTTAAAAGATATTTCCACATAAGAGGACATAAGAAAAAGGCATCCTGTTCATACAAATCTATTGAAATTTTTGACAGTTTTTGGGTGCAGTCACATCAATAACACTTACCCACAGGTAGCTTGCCAGATTAAATAATTGTGGTTCTGGGTTTAATTGTGAACTTGTTACCTTAATGGTAATTCCAGACAGGGGAATAACAGGATGAAGGGCCTGCCTATGGTGTTACTGCTGCCCATAAAGACAAAAAGGGTCCTTAGGGTTTAATTAGAGAATGTATAATCACACCTAAAGCATGCGAATGTTAGAGTGGGGACACTGAAGCCCTGAAAGAAGAGACCGGATTTGGTCAGCTGCCTTGAGAAACCAAGTTCATAAAATTGTGACTGTCCACAGGAACAGTGATACCTCCAGGTGGATTTATTCTCTGGCGAATTTGAGCTGGCTCCACAGCCAAACAGTGCAAATCACAAATGATCTGCGATGATGACTGGAGTCTTTGGGAGTAACATAAAAAGAAATAATCTAAAATGAAGAGCAAGTACATGAGCATTTTTTTTTTTTTTGGCAAAACACACCTACTGTCTGGAACACACAAGCAGGACATCGGTCAGCTTCTGTGAGTCTGTTTAGGAAAAGAATGAATGAAAGCCTATCCGTAGTTACACAGCCTCAACTGAAAAGGGCAGAAAACAAGCATATAGAGTTGTCACCTCATTTATAGGCGATACAGCACGAGTCTCCCAGCACAGGGCAGAAACCATGGGTGACGCCCAATATATAGAGTGTGTTTTTTCCTGTATCTATATACCTGTGGTGACGTTTATAAAGTAGGTGAAGTAATGAATTAACAACACTAACTACTAATCGAATGAAACAATTATGATAAAACACTATAGTGAGAAGTATGTGAACGTTTTCTCTCACAGTATCTTGCAGTACTGTACTCACTGGTGATGTGAGGTGACACGGTGCCTATGTGAGATGATGTGAGCTGAGTGATACAGGCATTGTGCTGTAGCCTTAGGCTACTACAGAAAGGTTACTTAAACAGAAGCACTGTGTTACTGTGACAATCAATATGGTGGCTTCAAAGGCTACTTGGTGACCAGTGAGCAGGTAGCATATACTGTGTGGACATGTTGAACAAAGGGGTGATTCCTGCTTCTGGCGGGGTGCAGTGGGTAGGTAAGGGATTTTTGGCTCAGGTGGATGCACAATTGAAAAACTATGAGTTGTTTCTTCCCAGATTTTTCCATTTAGTCTTTTCAGACATGGTTTGCTACAGGTAACAGAAACCATGGGAAGTGAAACCACAGGTAAGGGGAAGCATTGAGTATAACTTTTCCTTTCACTCTTCCATTGTTAAAGTCAAATGCTAATAAGAGAGATGGGACCTTTGCTTTCATTTTTTCTTTCCATAGGTATGACAAGGAAGGTTTATGCTTTGTCTGATTCTTCATGATTTTAGGAATATCTTCCACAAAATTGTCTTTATCTTTTGTAGCAGATTCTATCTAAAACCAGCTTTGTGTTTAGGAATAAAATTTCATATTTCATGGGATATTTTATATTCCGTCTGCATAAAAAAACTCCAGTGTCTCTAAGTTGCTAGGAATCCACTCCACATAGTATGGCAAGGTATTCATTATATAAATTAGATTACTCTAAAGTTAAACTTAACTTATGTGCATGGTCAGGAGCAAAAGTGAATGGAGCAGAAATGCATTGAAGTTGGTTTACAAGGGTTAGTACTTGTGATTGCTCAGACCTTTGCAGTCTCTTCAATTCTTAGGAGGCACAGGTGAGGCTCGGCAGGTATGTGTAAAGTGAAACAATTCATGAATACTCAGCCATGAAATGGAAAATCAAAGTGAAATAAGCATGACTATAAAAATCTTCATCTACTAATATCCAAATATTAATATCTACCTTTCTTTGAGAGATATTTCTGAATTTACAGATAAAAATGGATATCTTAGGAAAGGAAAGTGTTCAAGAAAGGAATTTAAACTGGGTTTGATTGACATGTGGTTTACTAAGCTAGGGTAATAGTTGAGCAATTATATTTAATCTAAATGTGTCTTTCAGTTTAAGATCCCTTGGAAAAAGTTTCCAGGATGCATTATGACTTTTTATGGAGTGACACATGGTCTTATTTTCCAAAGACTTTGATTTAATATTTGAATGTAATGATTTTTGACTTTCTTAGTATAGAGTATTTAAACTTAAAAGGAAAATACCTTAATTTGCTTATGCATAAGCCTATTAAAAACATTTCTAGGGGCTGTTGTTATGTTTATTCTCTAGAACATAACCTATCTTTGAAGTGGTATATTAGTTTCTAAAAAGTCATTCCCAGGCTGAATAATTAGACTGCAAACAAAAGCTATTCTTAGAGTATATTCCACATATAAAGCTATGCACATTATGCTTTGATTCAAATAATTTTCTTACAAAACTTTGTTATTGTTCGAGGTCTATATTCAGAATGGCAACTTTTGTTTTTGATGATTTTTCCATCCTGAAACAATTTCCCCTCTGTCCAATTAAACCAGAATTAAGAGCATATTTAGTGGCTTAAACCTCTCAACTGCTTGCTTCAGAAATGAAGACTTTTAGTAGTTGTGTTCATTTTGTCTCTTCATGGAGGGCTCAAAAGAAAACAATCAATCCCTTTAAGGTTTTGGGGAGAAAGAAAGATTGCTTTTGTTGCTTTGATCTTAGCATGCCATGTATTTTTTAATGGCTGTTAAATATAAAAAATCATAGCCTCTTCTCGTTTTTCTGCTACACTCTCATATTGTAAATCACACAATGCTTTCCAACTTAATTAAAATGCCCAATTCCAAATATAATTTTTAAATGAATTTATCATTATAGTCAATAGAAAGGTTTCCAGGGTGTAAAAAACTATCCAATGGTTTGATTAATATTCCACAAGTCGCTAAAAATATATTCATGCATTTTAGATAATTAATTCCATAGTATAGATACACATTCATGCTCTTTTAGACCTCTTATTCTATGATTACAAGAGACTGTTTTAGTTAATTTAGCAACTGGCTAGGTTATTGCTTCAACAGTGTGATCCCTAATACCAAAGCAGCTCCTTTCCAAAGCAACTTGTTTACATGCGTCAGTTGGATGATTTTCCTATATCTTTGTGCCAATTGCTGTCATGGTATTTGGTAAAAATTGTCATTAAATCAAGACAACTGCACTTAGTTAAATTTACCCCACACAGAGAATATAGGAAACGTACAGTAGCTGATTTGAGGCCAGCATTATTAAGTAAATACAGGTTTTAGAAAATGAATGCAGACTACAAAAATGGAGTTGTATAATTAAACATCAAATAGTCCAAGTAATAAAAGTCATAGATTAACTGTTTCTCAGTTCTACTTAGATCCTTTAAATACTGCTTCACCACTTGAGTATTGGTTCTCTCATCAGAAGAGTGCCTATCCTTAAAATTTGGGAATTTCAGCTCTTTTGGAGCACCAATCATTTGTAGAAAGTAATTGGCATCTTCTTCCAAAGTTTCAAATTTCCCTACAAAATCATAGTTGATCAAACATGGATAGCATAGTTTGCTGACCTTTTCCCAGTGAATGTCCATTCCAACTGGTCGGTGAGAATCCAGCAAATAGTGGATGAACTCTTTGAATTTGACTCCAGATCCATTATTCAATGCTTCTTCACAGGCATTTGGTCGATATTTCTTTATAATTGCTTTTCCAAATACTGGATGATAGTAACTATTGGGGTGTTCGAATTTGTCCCGAAATGCTGACACTAATCTTTCCACGGGGTCACGAACAAACACAGCTTTGGTGTAGGTATTTAAGCGAGTGTGTATCCCTTTTAAGTCAAAGCTGTCCAGCTTTTTCAAATGTTTTCCATAGTGGACAGCATCGTGGGAGATGTTGTATGCAGAGGAAGCCAACCCATTCAGGACCATCAGAACCCTTTTCCAGTTGGAACACCCAGCCTTAGGCACTTCACAGTATAAGATTTTGTGTTTGTCTTCTACATAGATCCTGGACACCACATGAAACAGATGTGACTGGCGATGGCTCACCGTGCCGTACTTTCTGCAAAACTCCTGAAGGAAGGACCTACGTTTCTCTTGGGTTTCATCAGTTTTTTTCCATTTGTTGTCTTTGACTAAACTTTTATTTAAAGGCCGAATGTCCACTGGCCAATTCATTTCACTGGACTTCATGGAGAGAATTTTAGTTCCTTGATGTTTTTCAACCAGTTTACTTGTTGATGACCCTGTGATCTTACTCAAGGCTTGATCCTCTGCTTGTGAAAGGCTTATCTTTGTTAAATCCTTAGTAGGGCTCTCAGAGTTGAGTAGATTCTCCCTTTTGTCCTTCTGATCTTCAGGCATGTGAAATTTGGAGTTCTGTTAAAATAGAAAGGAGAAATGTTGGAAGCACATTCACAAATGTGAGTATAGTAGATAAGAAACTTAACATATTTGTTCAAATATACTACTGAGGATACCATATTTTGTATAAGCTGCCAGAAACACTTTGGCAAGCCATGTGGGATATCATTTTGTAGTAAGCATCTTCACAGAAAATATAACAATGAAAAACCAAAAATGGTACCCACAGGACAGAGAGGAAAGAGCCCTGGATTTTCATCCTGACTTTGCCTGCAGTGTGATTAAATGTAATAATTCTGTGTGTCAGTGATTGTTGGGAGCCATTCAATATACTTTTTTGGGGAAAAATCATTTCACAATTAAAATATGATTAGGGTTATCTGGGGTCTCAATGGTCCCAGGATGCTGTGACACTCAAGAGCAAGACTACATCAGCTGAAGACATCCTGTTTCTTTAAGAACCAAGTAGTATCACAGAAAGAGAAAGGTTTCTCCTGGGAAGAGTCAAATTCCTTATCAGTTTAACTCATCCCATCTACTGTTGAAACAATGTTTTGTTCATCTCACCATCCTAATCAACATAAGCTCCTCCTTGACCTAAGATCCTCATCAGAATAAGATCTTCATCATTGTAGGATTACCCTGCCCTCCAGACATCTGAACTCCCTCCAATTATAAGATTCTCATAAATTTGGGATTATCACCACCCTCTGAGTCATCTGACACTCCCTATGAACCCAATAAATAGTGGTTGTGCAAGTCACTATGGTCTTTTTTTTCTTTAGCCCTTGCTGTCCCCCTTTCTAGACAGTTGGAGGATTCACTGGCCTTCGATAAGTGATTCTTGAGGTATTACTGAAAGTGTTGTTTTCAAATACTGATTTAGTTGTTGTATCCCAGTGTAAGACGAAATGTGTTTGAACTGAAATTTTTCTTATTTTGGTTGGCACAGTTTAATACGCAGAATAGTTCAAAGTCATAAATTTTAACTTAAACATTGTAGTAAGACTAATCAAATCCTGATGATCAGTTTTCTAAAACTTGCAAAAAGTGATATAATTTCCCTCTTGGAAAATGTTTTACATTTCTAAAGTCATTTATCACAGTAGTTTATGAAGTATAGTCAAAGTATTATATACCTTTGTTCATGTATGAGGCCTTTCCTCTTTCCCAAGAGAAGACTAATGAAGGAAACCATAGAAGCCTAATTGATGTTCTGCTATGTCAAACTCTATCAAAAGTAGAAAGATTTCAGTTTGCTTGCTTGAGGGATGAGTCAGCCCACTTCACTTGTCTCTTCATTTGACTACATCCATCCTTCTTATAACTCTTGTAGCTGATGAAAACAGACATTGGGACTAGAAATGTGATATCTTCTGATAGGGACAAAAAAATGTTTGACAACAAGTGTGGTTTTATTCTGGGCAAACTGAGGAGCATTTAGAAAGCTCTGAGCCGAGAGGTAAGATGATCTCATTTAAGCTTAGGAAGGATGACTGTGGACTAGACTGGACTGGAAATCAATGTAGAGGGTTTTCTACATGTTACTGGAAAAATAAATTAATGAATGATGCAGTCTGAGGTTAACACATGGTGCCACCCGCCTGAAGGTAGAGGATGTGGTGGACAGAGTTCTACATCTACAGTTTATATCTCCAGTGTCTAGATCGGCCTATAACTGATGATAGTTGCTCTCCACTTTATGGAATGAGTGTATCAATAGCATTATGTCTTCAAGGGTGACAGGGAATTTTCTAGTTAACTGAATGAAAAAGCAGAAGAATAAACCTATGGATGGAGCCACTTTTAGGAATCATGGTCCTTTCTAGTTTTGATCCAGCTGAGTTTTAAGGGGCTGGTACAAGGAGACCTTGTGAATAACCCCCAAACACCACATATCAACTTGTACAGTCCTATAGAAAGGCTTTTCCAAGTCTTTTATGCTGTTGAATTGTCCATCTGGGCGGCTCAACTTTGAAACCATTTGCTCTGTTCTGTAGGGATTTCCAGAGTGTCAAAGCCTTCTCCCCTTCTTTGGTCTTATCAATGATTTATAATCCATAAAGTTGTCACCAGTAATATGCAACTTGATCGTAAGTTTGAAAGATCATAGGGTTATGAATATGCATTATATGAGGCACTTAGCACAGGCCTGAAATACATTTGCCATGAAATTTCTATTTTTACTTCTTCGTTTGTTCCCTTTATACATGACAATTGCTATTATTGTTTTAATAGGAGTAGTAGCAACACTACTTTATCCCAGTGACCTAGTGAATTTCAAGATTCCTCGAGTTTTCTATTATTAGTCACATTGTAATTTGTGTGTCTCTGCACATAACTCTAGTCAGTTCTCCTCTCTACTCCACAAACAGAAACAAAAACACAGTCTTCCAACTGTGCCCTGTGGACCTTATGCTCTCTGGTCATCAAATTCCCCTTTAATTTTCAGGGACTTCTGGAATGTTTGTCTCCCATGCCTTCCTATACATTAGCCCCACACCCCCCATATCCTACCCTTGCTTCCCCTGTACATTTGAAAGTTGAAATTTCACTTCCTGGAAGGGCTTGTCCCTAGGCAAGATGCTAGAAAGCTGTTTCTTTGCAGTCTACTCTGCTTTCGGGACATCTCCCAGCAGAATCTGTGAGATATATGTGTCTACCTGTTTATTTCCCCACTGCCTCTTTATCACTGATCTCCACTCCAATGCACTGAAGATTCTGGCTTCTCTTGGGTTCTTCATTCAAGCTCTTGTTACTATGTACAGTGACTGAAATCCAATCAACTCTCTCCTCTGGCCTTCTGGCCTTTAACAGAAGAGTTCTCCATGTTACACTATATCAACAGGGCCCTTTACCATCTCTCAGTCTACCATGCCTTACCTTCCAGCTCATTGTTATTTCCTGTTTTGCAATACTCTGCCTGCTTTCATTACACCATCAAGGAGGCTATTAGCAGCCAGCACAACTGGTTTCTCATTATTCAGCTAGAAAGCCTTTCTCTGTCTTCCTTGTCTAAACAATATACCCCAAGATTTTCTGCCAGAGCACCTTGCTGATTTTAACCACAATGTGAAATTTACCTATTTCATTTATTTCTTATTTCTCTTGTTCTCTACATATGTAGCACAGTGCCAGGGACACAGATGACGATCAATAAATAAAAGAAATGAATACATGCTGTTGTGACTTAATGGTGGGCTTTGAAACAATTCATGACCTTGTTGAAGAGAAACAGGGTTCATCAAAAGGTCAAGTTTAGTTTAGATAAACAATTGACCAATTCTTGGTCAAGGAACTGAAAAATCAGTGTTCAAACAAATCTTTGGCATAATAGAAAACAAATAAAACAGGCACCTGTAGAGCTGCTAGACTAGGTGTGGAGGTGGATAGCCTTACCTGCCTAAGTCACACTGGGACAGTCACTCAGGCTTCCCTGAACTCTGGGAATGGGGTGATGGTCAGTACTGTGTGGGTCCCTCAGCCTTACTGTGGACACACTGAGTCTGTCTCTCAGGGTGAGGCTCCTGGCTCTGATTTCAACAAGTCCCCCTGATGTTCCACATTTGGGGACCACACAGCTAGTGTGTGACAAAGGTAATTAAAATAAGGGACAAGTTCTGACAATTGCCTCTCCTCCTACCCAGGGAGAAAGACAAAATGATGGACTTGAATATTGGAGTGAGAAGAGACAGAGCTTGAGTGGTAACATAGGGAGGTCACCTTAGCTTTCATGTGAACCAGATTACTGTGTTCATCGAGAAGCTTTGTAATGATTCATGTAGCTGGGAAATGGCTACATGACAGAAGCCCCATCACTCATTATAAATAAGACTTAAGTCTCCTATTGGTTTATCTAGTGGTAGCCATTTTTCTGCACCCTGACAAAACTGAGATACAGGATAGAGAGATGGCACCAGCTCCTTGCAAGACCTCTGGGGTAGCCACCAGGCCTTCTCCCACAACCCCTTACTTCACTGTTACTAACTTTATGAAATCTGTTATCAGGATTTGGTGGCATTCCTCCCCATGCCTTCCCCACATCCATTCCCTACAGATCCAAGCAAAAGCTTTCCACGCCTGAAAGGTTGGAACTTCTAAAATCAAAGGTAATGACATGTTACATCTGGGACTAACACCAGTGCGTTTCGACCCTACCATAACAAGCATAATAATAACAATAACAAGAAAAAAGGGAAACCGTAGACCTCCATTTTCCTTGGGCATGTGAAGCAAACCCCCTCCAAGCTATGAGGGTCTTGAACTCTTTTTCATTTCTGAAATGGTCCTGTTACTTTTTGGTTACCCACTCACAAAATCTGAGAGCTGTTTGAACAATTGGACACTAAACTGGCTACTTTTTATTTCATGATGCCTCTTTTCAGGATTTTAAATCTATTACCTCTTGACTGAATGTCTTTTAGTATCCTTTTGATTAGTTTCTCTGAAATTTATTACTGAATTAGTCATACTCAAGACTAATTTTATTTTTCATCTCAACATTTTGGATCAGCCCCACTAGATATGAACCAAAGTCCTGATTCCTTAGCTGGCACTTGCAGCTTGGCTGTACTAGGCCTCTTCTCTCTCTTTCTCGACATGCTCTGTACATCCTTGCCCCACCTCTGCTTGTTGACATCCTCCACCCCATCCTCTCCCACTTTTTGGGACTCTCAAAGTATTCTAGGTCAATATACAACTCCTAATTTTATTTTTTCCTGAAAACCATCCAGACCTCCAGAGAGTGACTTTATCCCTTCAAAACGACTTTAGCAGTTAGACTGTACTGTCTGTGAGGAAAATGATTTTACTTCAGATCATATTTGTCATTTGATATTTGTTTTTTGGTGGAAAACTCTTAACCACAGCTTAGTTGTACACTATGGCTATAGTTTTCCTTAAATACCTTTGAAGAGTGGACAATTACAGAGTTAGTTGAAAGATATACAACTATAGATAAGATAGTATTCACATAAGTACAGTGGTAGGATGTGCGGAATATTCATTAACTGGTA